CCTCAGTGTTGAGGCCTGTTTTTCCTCAGTGTTCGGGCCTGTTTCTCTCGACTTCTACTGGCACTAACTGGATCTGCTCTCATTCATCCTCTGACTTTTTCTTGAGGCGTTCAGCAGCAGTGATCCAATAAATGCAAATGTTGCTGCTGGCGGGGGAATCTTATGGTGTCTCTGCAGAGATACTTTCTCACCTCTACACACGTCTCTATCTCACTGTACTGGTTCATAATAGGCAGAATAGTCTCCATGCTGCTGTGTTCCACCAGGTCTGACTTGTTCCCCACGAGGATCAGAGGAACCCTGAGGACACATAGACATTCAGGTCACCAAACTATTCAAACCCCTCCTCCTCCTCACGGTTTGAACGCACACACCTGCTGTCCTTGTCCGTGTTCTCTGTGATCAGAGGGATCCAGTGCTCCGTCACCTGGAAGACGACAGATAACGACACATTTCATTATTTCCAACCTTTTAGGGAACAGCTGCTGGTTCCCTCAGAAGGCCTCATGCGCCGCAGAGATGAAATGATATATAAACAAATGATGGAAAGTAGAGGAGGCTCGCCTTCTCCATGGACGTCCTGTTGTTGACGGAGTAGACGATGCAAATCACATTTGCCTGCAGGAGAGAGCAGCACAGACGGCCGTCAGGCTTCCAGCGATGGGCCAACACTTGCTGCTGGTTCATTGACAGACCCACCTTAGAGATCTCCTGGAACAGCTGCTCATCTGTCTGCTCTGCCTCTGCAGAAGGAGCACAAAGTGTTCACACCCTTCACATGTGGAAGCACACAGACTTGGATCATTAGGGGTTCATGTCATGGAGGTGAACATGATAGAAAAAATGACACTTTTTCTTTGGTAGAGAAAAATCTTTTTAAAAGTGACATAGATCTATGTTAAACAGATTTAATCTCATCAGGTTAATTAGAATATGGCTGGCTGTTTACCGTCTGACTGTTTACCTGAATAGTCCACGATGTGCGTGGGAACCCTTTCAGGTGTGACGTCTGCTGGTATAGTGATCTCCTCCACTCGATAGGGAACCTGAACCAAACAGAAAACACATTCCTGCTCAGCAGGCGTCCGTCCATCAGTCAGGAAGAAGCAAACTGGGAGAGCTCGTACCACATCTGGGAATTCTTCGCTGACCAGGGACATGATGAGGGACGTCTTCCCCACCTTGGCTGGGAGAGGAGGTTCAAGCTTGGTTATCTTATTGCTCACAGGTACATTAAAATTCCTATTCCAAACATGATTTGATCATTCCACTCAAAGTCCCGCTTTACATTTAGAAAGCTGAACCATAAAAATAAAAAATGGTCCTTCATCCTATAATTGATAGAAAAAAATCATGAAGGGAAAATGTT